GGCTGACCGTTCGGACAGCTCAATGGCCTGGCTAAAAAAATGTTATTCTGCCAACTGCAGCTCGTTTAAAATACCCTGTATGCGGGTTGTTTAATGAGCGGGGTATGCTCTGCACTTAAAAAGCCACACAAATTTATGCTATTTATTTGAAGTATAGTAAAGTCTGATTTGACTTGTTTTCTTAAATTTATTTATATTAATTTAGAATTCAAGTGAATCTGATCTTCATATATCGCAATTGGGAAAAGTCTTTTAAATACAATTCAGAAGTTTCCCAAATAATATAGAGCAGATATTCCAAAATACTTTAAGAACTTTTGCTCTTTTTCAAGATGCAAACTAAATCAGGCAATTTGAATATACAATATTTCCAGAATAAGCATCTATAACTATCTTTACCCTTTGCCTTCGACTGTTCATCATCTTTTATCAACAATTTTTCCATTTACAACAGATAATAGGGTATTCCACTGTCAAGCAATGTTCACTGGGTGTATAATTAATTATTTATGCCCTGTAAAGGCAAATCCACTTACCCAAAACTCTACAAACCACGTTCACAGCTTGCAAATTCATTCGCTTTGTATTGCGGCGAAGTACAGTTAACTGCGCATATGCCTCGAGTGTAGCGTATTAGAGTTCAGTGTAATGCAATTGGCATTCATTTGATACATTGTTCAAAGATACCGGGAAACGCTAAGACGCTACGCTAACACCCAGCAAAAGGTGTGAAAATTTGCTGCTGCTGGCCATTTTTCCCTGTAAATACTCGAGCTTTATTGATTTTCCCGCTTATCAAAGCAGTTAACAGTCGTTGCGGCGGCAAGTGCTGCAACTAGTTGCGGCTGCAGTTTCACTAGCCCCAACAACAACAATTTGCCACAGAGCTGGAGTGATTGATGCAGCGGCAGCAATTAACGTTCTGTGGCAGCTGAGGCTAATGGACAAATGGGGCAAGTGGATCTCGAGAGCGTGCATTTAATAAACAAATCGGACACAGCAGGCAATTTCACAGCTGACCCAATTGGATCAAAAAGACGCACACTACGAGATTCAAGATTCCATATTGCCATGCAAGAGGCTGTTTGGCTGTGTGAGTATGTATCTTTGATTCGTAATGGGCTGCAATTTGATCGATAGAAAGATACAATTTGAATGTGATACTATGATTGATACAATTCACAATTTGTGTAGCGAAGTATTTAGGATGGCACAAAATAAATAAGAATTACATATAGAGTAGCTTTGATTCGATACGAGATACAAATTGTACATATATATTCAGATAAATTTGGATTCTCTAGACGATACATATTTCTAATACCTTCAGATTGATTTCATAGATTGATATGTAGAAGCATGAAGATCGTATGTGAGATACAATTTATACGTAGAATGTATCTGTGTAGATGTATGTATGTAGAGATACTTGGAACCAGTAAGAAGACAAAAGACTATACAGAATATAAAAATGCGATGTAAATAGTATCTTTAGTTCGACTTGAGACACAAATTGTATGTTGTAAATATATTTAATTCGGAATGAGATACAACTCAATGTAAGGAATATTTTCATTCAAAATGAGATTTAATATGAATGAAAGGTTATCTTACATCAATACAAATTACAATGGAAATACCGAAGTAACTGCAATGAAAGAAAAACAAAAAAACATTTCGATACAATTTGCATATGAAAAGTAACTTTGATAGCAAATGAGATACTATTTGAATGGAAAACATATTTTGCCTTCATTGACATTTAAAATATTCATTAATGGAAAGCAGTTATCAAGATGCTATATGAGATAGAACATATAATTTCTGAAGCATCTATCGATCCACACGAAATACAAGTTGATCTCATTGTCTGTAATAACATCTTTGACAGAATTGTGTGTCTAATCATATGTTTGCCTGACTCATGGATCAATGAAAATTTGTTTGTCGTTTCAGTGGGAGCTCGAACCATTTGATAATACCACACTTCAATTTGTACTCTGTTTGTTTTTTGAAGCCCTCCCTCTGCTCAAAACCGGTTTAAGAAAGTTGTTTTCAAAACTTGTCTGCCAAAAAAATCAAGAAACAAATACAAAGACGTGAAACCAGCTCGTCAGAACAGTCTCTTAGGCATGCCCTAACACAGGGTATAACGTATTTGTCACGCTATTTATAAAATATATTCAATGATCAGTTTTAACAATCGATTGATTTGTTTGAGGTCTGAGTAAAAATGTTTGTTTGAATTTCGATAGAGAGATAGAGAGATTAAAATATTTAATAAAATTCCTTTTCAATGACAGCTGATATGGAAATTAATTTGAAATACATGGCGATTGAATGCTTTGTAAATTAATCTCTGAATAACTTTACTTGCACTTGTAAAGCCTTTATCAATAATAAAACTTCTTCTCTCTCTATGTCTGCCTCTCGCTCACTCCCATGCTGTTTTCTTTTTACGTGATAAGGCGTCTGGCGCTCAAGCGAACGAGTCCTGGACCCCGGCGAGATTTGCCTTTATCTCAGTCGAGTTTTGTTTTATTTATATATAATATGTATGTATGTATGTGTATATTCCTTATATATATAAGAACAACTTTTAAACATCTGGGAAATATATCAGCTAGCTTTCATGGAAACAATCGCAACAAAACAGAACTTGAGCTTTTCAAGCGAAATGTAATAATTGCCTTAATTGAAAGGGTATTTAAATGTGTGTTAGCGTATTGAAATACGTTTATTGTTTCTTGCCTTTATATGTTTTTATTTTTTGGCAGCTGGGTCATTGGCTGCAACTGCAGCAAGACACAAACGAAGACGTCATACTGTGTAATAGATACAAATAAAATATCTGCAAGACACTTTGGCCAGATCACAGATGATGATTAAGCCTGGCTAGTGGATAGTCATTGCTGTCAGCTGCTTACGCAGTCTACAGTTAACCACAATAACAGCAAAAGCAACAGACGACAACAACAACAACAAAACAACTTTTATTCACATTCATAAATGCGATGAATCACGGCCTGGTAACTTGGCCGGGCCGTGTTTGTTCTCTCGATTCGCTGGAATACCTTCAAAGCGCACACACACACACACTCATACATTGATACTTTTTAAAGTCACTTATCAATGAAAATTAATTTGATAACAATACCACAAAAAGACAGAGATAGTGAGAGAGGGAGCGAGAGAGGTTACAGATAGCGGTTCAAGTAATGATAATATATATGGGTTTATGTCTCCCTGAGAGCACCAAAAAATGCATTTAGATTAAAATGCGACATTGAGCGCTGTCAATAGACGTCACGTACACACACACACACACACACATGTTCATATTACACTCATTCAATATCTATGTCTTATAGAGTTTGCATTTGAATTCCTATAGCTAAACAATTTATTGTTGTGTTCGTCACCACCTGTAGCTCTACAGATCTCTATCTCTTTCACGTCCTCTCTCTCTCTCTCACTCTCTCTCTCTCTCTCTCTCTCTCTCTCACTCTATCTCTATTATTTTGCACTTTGGCAAAAACACAGCTCTCACTATATACATATATCTATATTTTATCGCGTATTTGTTTTAGGCTACGCATTAGCACCTTTTGATACTCGATTTTAACTTTATTTTTGATGTTTTAAATATTTCATATTTTTTTTAAATTATTTGCTTACGTTTTGAGTTAAACTTTTCTGCGCTTTTGTATATTTACACTTTAAACAACAAGAAACACATTTATTTATCACTCTGTCAGCATGTTAAAACAGCTCTATTTGTTTTAGTTTCCTTTTTGTGTGCGTTTCAAGCTCATTTAATTGTGCTTTGCACTCTTTGAACGGAGTTTGAAAAAACGCGCGATTCGAGCGCACTCCTCTGTTAAAGCGTTCGTAACGTCCGCACGGCGCGACTCGCTGAACTGAACTAAATGTTAAGCGCTGGCTTTGGTCGTGAGCGTTGCCATTTTGCCAGAGCACAGATAGCTAGATTTAGCTAGAAAGGCAGCCAAAAGAAGCTGAATCGTGATGCCTATGTATTCGTACATTTGTTGTTTATTTTGTCACGATTTTATCAATTTGTAATTTGTATGTGATATTTTAATAGGTTTGACTAGACGATACTCAGATTTTACACCAAAATTATACAATAATAAGAAATAAATTAGAGTTCCCGCGACCTTTCAAAAAGCTAGTTCTGACGGAAATATAGCTAAAATGGTAGCAGTGCTGGTCATGTAAAATTTTGAGCGAGAGACTGCGGCAAAAGTGCGTGCGGTGCTGCCAGATTGTTGTATTTATTTAATTGTACTAAATGCTGCAGCGCACACAGTTATATAGCAAATAGCTTTGCAGTGTGTTAACATTTTGAATAGCTAATAATATTAGCTTAAAAGTTTATATTCTACAATTTCTTTGCTTTTAAATATACATATGCACAGTGGGTATTGGATAAAAATATATATTTTTTTACAAATTTCCAAAGCTCTCTATATAAACAAAACTTGCATAGACAAAGGAACCATATATGGATTACAGCTACAACTCTCAATTACGACAACAGAGCAGTGAAACATTTTCCGACTGTGAGTCTTGCCAGTAAAAATCATAAAAATATTTACAAATTTTTGTTAGGTATATATTGTAAGTAAAGTAGATTCTGAAATTAATTAAAAAAAAAAAAAAAAACTCTGATAGTTGCTAGGTATGATTTAAAATGAAACTCCAATTTAGATGGTAAGAAGATACCCACAATATAAATTTTATTTACGCATCAGTTGAAAATTCCCTCTCTATGCTGTCTGTAACCTGCCGGCTTATAAATTGTATTGTATTTCTCGTTTCAATGGGTTTGGCATAGTAGCGAGGTAATCGCCCAGATCTACATGCATGTCAAATTCCGCTAGGCTAATGTACACAAAATCCAACAATTAAATATGCCAGTTAAATGATAGATATATATATTATTCTATACATATATATAGAGCGAGTTAATGGACCGGCTGGCTGTTTAGTGATCAGCGCTGCAATTGAGCTGAACGATCAGCGATCGCCACAGCCAGGAACCGCTTAATGTGGATTTAATTGCAACTGGAGGCCCCATATATATAGGGCCAAAATAAGACCCCATCTCAAACTCTGTAACGAAAATGTCGAATATTGGGATCTTGCTGTTGTTCATCTGTGTGGCCTTTGAGTCAGCTTTCGCCTGTGTAAGTTGCAGATAAAGTGAAAAGTGATAAAGTGATATATAGATTGCAGATATACTATACTATATTTCCATAGAATGGATACAAGGCAAAGATTCTGAAGATGGAAAACTGTGCGGGTGATGACGCCATCATCACAGTGGATGAAAATTTCGGCGTTAAGCTGAATAAAAAGTGCGAATTGATTCCCACGGGCTGCGTAATGAACAAGGCATTCAACACCGCTGTGATCAAGTATAAGGTGCAGAAGGATGGCATTATGATAAAGGAGGGCAAAATGGATATGTGTGCCGCTGCCGATCAGGCGTCCTCTGATGCAAAGGACATGCTCAAGGTGTTCGGTGCTCCATCCAGTTGCCCCGTGGTCGAGGAGAAGATCTGCGCCAACGATCATACCGTCGATCTGACCAAGTACAAAGCCATGCTGGGCATGGCTCGTGGTCATCTCATAATCGATTCCGAGATTAAGCACGATACTGTGAGTCATGAAGCGACCCATTTAACTAATGTGCTTATTACTAATATCCACATCTCTCTCACTCTCTTTTTCTCTAGGGAAAATCCTGTTTCCATGCTGAAGTCGAAATTGTGAAGAAGTAGAGATCCCATTTATCCGATATTATATTATGAGTCTTGCAAACTAGCTGTATCTTTCCTTGTAATAAATAAAACATATTGGTAATGGAGTGCACAAAAACAAAATCTGAATATTAAATTGTGAGGCTTGCACACTTCGTTCTCTTATTGCTATAACTAGTATTTGCCATGGGAAATTGTTGAACTCTTTTTTGGTGTCTTTGAACAATAGGAAATATCCTTTAGTATATATAGATTAATATTGATCATTTATTATCTTATTCTTCATTTGTGAAATGAAAACACTTTAACATAGCATTGGCTAGTTAGTAATAGATAAATGTATATATTTGAACAGTTTACAACACTTTTTGCTTACATTACATAAAGAATTAAAAAAATATCAAATCTTAATGGTTAGTTTTCCAATTTTCTATTCACAGACAGCTGAGTTTGCTATTGTGCAACTGGAAGTGAGGGAAATTTTCATCACTTTTGTTTTTCCTTAGAGTAAGGGAAGAGATAGTGGAAGGGGGTGAGGGACGGGGGAATGTTGAGACCATCTTGAGCAGAGCGAGGTGCTAGTCGAGGATTAGTTCAGCAGATGCCCGAAAAGCCAAAGTCGCAATCATCTTCCCTCTCTTTCAAGCGTCCCAGGTAGGGTGAGTGCTTGATGCCAAAGCTGTAGGAGGGCGTGTGAGAGAGGTTAACCTGAATGAGGGAAGGAGAAAGTATTTAAAGTCAGGCAGAATTGGTATTCAGTGCTAGTTTAGGCTATTTAATTTTGCTATTAGTATTCGATCTGATCTTTAGCTAGGCGTAATTCCTATCGACCCGATTCGCTAACAGACAGTTAACAAAACGATCTGGCACTAGACACTGGGTCGGTCGTCCGCAGAACCTCGAATGCATAATGCCAAAGGATATTGAAGGCGTCGAACGTTTCTCCCAATACTAAGGGCCAGGTCATATCGATATATATATTTAAGATATATGTATGTAAAAGTGTTGAGATCCGCTCAACAGATCTATCTGGCTTACCTTTTCGGGGCAATGTGCACCTGGGCCGGGCTTGTTGTTGTCGGTGATGACGTTGAATTTGCCGCGCATCGAATAGACGGGTGGCTTGGACTTGGTGACCGTGTATTCGCCATCATAGTACCCTGGACCGGGCAACACCAGCTTCGGTATCAATGACGGGCGCATGCGTCCGGCCATCGTATATGCTGGGGCTGAACGTATCTGACCCTCCTTGCTGCTGCCCAAGACAGTGGGTATCTTGTAGACATTAGGAGCTGTCGAGGAATGCAAATTCGGTAAATAATTGTAATTAAATAGGGTGTACTGCGGATTGTCTAATTGTTTTCTGATGGTTATTCAGCTGGTGTTTGAATGGCTTGGTTAGAGAGATGAGCTTGGTTCATTGAAGGGGCTGTAAGAGATATAACAAAGACGCACAGGAAAGGAAAACAGAAAACAGCAAAATGTCCTCGATGTCTCAAGGACTCGGTTACCTGATAATCTTGTGTTGCACACTGCCCGCCTTCACAATGTACTTAAGAGTATTCGATCTCGTGAACTCGCCGCTGGTCACAATCGCACCGTCCGATTGCACCACAGTGCGTGTGCTCGCCTCTGCCGCCTGAGTGGCTCTGGCATCTGCCGTACCACTGGCAATTACCTGTAGATTGTCACCGTTGGCATGTGCCTGGGCCGAGCGCTTCATTACGATGGTGCGACTCGATTTCGAATTGTCGTCGCCCACGAGCTTTTTTGTGATTGTTGCTGAATTGATTTTGTCGGTGTTGGTTGCTTGTTGGTGGTGATCGTTGGGTGCAGCGGTGGTGCTGGTGGTTGTTATCTGATTGATTACATTGTCCATTCGATTGGCATTTGTATCCTTGTCGGTGGTTACTGTTGTTGTTGTTGTTGTTGCTGTTGTTGTGCTGGTGGTGGAAGTGCTTGCGGTGCCAACAACAGTACTGCGAACTGTGGTGCAGATTATAATTAGTTGATTTGTGCCGCCGTTAGCTATGCATCAGATTGATGTATATGCATATATATATGTATGTGCACACATTATATACATATAAATCACAGCGTATGTATGTATTTGCCTCTGCCATTAAATGCTAATTAAACACCTCAAGTACTTGATCATTGCAGTTAACGGTAAACAAATTAATTGGGGACTACATTTAAAAAAAAAACACGATTTGGATAATAGCATGTAAGCACATGTATGTATATTAATCTGATTATGTGGATTCTCAACATTTCCATATACACTTTTTTTAATTTTTATTTTTTGGACGTCTTCGATGAATCGCCACCCCCAACAGGGCCAGCGCCTTGGGCAACCGTTTCGGTGATCTTTTTCTCACCTGGATTACTCAAAGCACGACCGGCAGCTGCTTCTGTAGTTGCCTTATCGCCATTACCACCAGCGGCAGTACTACCATCAGGACCAGCAGCTCCAGTAGAGGCATTTGCACCACCAGCGGCAGTACTACCATCATCAGGACCAGCAGCTCCAGTAGAGGCATTTGCACCACCATTTGCACCACCATTTACGTGCTGATTAGGGTAATGTATTATCTTATGGTAAGCGCATTCAGTGCGACATTTCCTCATCGATTTCCATTCGTTATATTTGTTAAACATTCTACACTTGGTATAAACCGCGACACAGTCCAAAATGATGCGATGGAACGCATAGAACGTGCGACGTGGACCCATACAGTAGCGTTCATGTTTGTATTTGTTTTTCACCAAACATGCGAAATTGGGTTTATCTAGACAACAAAATAATCGATAATTATACCGATTTATAGCTACAAATGAGTATTGGTTGACTTACAGCGCGAATTCTCAATGATATCGAATAAGGATACGATCCATAAGATCAAACAGCAAAATGCCAACCATCTCATTTTACACTCATCTGTCAACTAAATCCCTAGAGAACTTCGTAGCGAAGTATCTGAATCGTAACGGATAAGGGTTACGAATTGTATTTTAAACTGTCTCAAATTGCAATTACCCGTTTTAAGATCAAGTACTTAAAGTGTCGTAGTGTTTTGATGATACGCTTACCGGGACTAGCCAAACGCCTTTCACGTCTTTGCAATATGCGATCTTCAATGTAAGCGCCTCTAGGTTCTAGTGAGTGCAGAGTTTCATGAATATATACATATAAATATATATATATAGATTTATTATATATATATGTATACAGATATATATTGGTATATACATATGGAACATAGACATTTATGTGAGGGCCAGCCAACCACGTGTGATGGAAAATAAAGTACAGAAATATGATATATAGAAATAAACATATAAAATAATACAACAGAAAGTATAAAGCTAGCTTCGGTTCACCGAAGATAAAACTACCCGAGCAGATATATTTATAAAATTATTGAAATCGATCGATTGATCAATTGATTTCAAAGTTTAAAGTATATATTTTATTTAATGGACATATTCTGCAAGGGGTTTAACACATGCTAAGCCAAAAATTGTTCTAAAGCCAGCACCGTTTTGAAGCTAAGTGAAATACAGAGAGCTGCACCTACCTGGAATTGGCGGCATGGGTAAGGTCTTAAGACCAAAGCTGTATGCCGGCGAGCTGTCGAGCTTACAGTGCTCTGGATGATAGTGACCGGGAGCTATAGAGCAGGCGTAACAAGATGTCAGACACAAAACATTCATAGATAAACATAACATATAGAGGAAGCAACATGCTAATAGGGGACTTAAGCCTAGATTCGAAAGTAGTTCTATCAATTGGTTCTTTACCGGGTGCATCGGTGGACACCTTGATCTCAGTTCGAGTGCCGAATGTGTATGCTGGAGAGTGTTGAGTGTTGTTGTGCTTTTCCGGTTCGTATGCAGTGGGTGCTGGAAGTTTATCAAGTGATTGTTTGATTTGGTATACATATATGCTTTTCTACTTATTACTTTGGTTCACATATGACAAATAAGTAGTCATTCATTTACCTGGAGTATCACTGATATGCTCTCGTTTGAGCTTCATGCCAAAGGTGAAGGCTGGTGTAGAATCAACCTGGTAGTTCTCTGGCTTGTAGTCGCAGGGCGCTGGAGTCTGGCTAATATGCTCAATGGTCGTACGACCTGTAATTTTGTAGGCGGGTGTATGGTCAAGCCGAACCTTTTCAGGAGAATAATCGCATGGCGCTGGATGATGATTTTCCACCTTGGGGTCATATTTGCCACCAAATGTGTAAGCGGGTGTGTGATCCAGTCGAGTCTTCTCCGGTGAATAGTCTCCAGGTGCCGGTGTACCATTTGTGATCTTCACTTCATGCTTGCCAGCTATGGAGAAGGCAGGACTGTGATCCAGTCTGACTTTCTCTGGGG